GTCAAGAAAAATTATTCTCTGTTTCAATGAAATTGCTCCCCAAAGGTATAATGATCTGTTCTCCTACCCATGAGGATGTCCCTAATAATTCTGCCACAGTCCTCCCTGCCATGTCTCAACTCCTATATCCAATATTGTTCCTCTTGGCACATATCCTAACACTTAGATTATTCATACAATGTTTCAGGTACATATATTGGTCTGTCATGACCAAAATTCTTTTTCCTCAAAAAGCATGCAGAGAGAGAACAAACCCAGACTTGCTGGAGCCAGAGTAATCAAAATGTTATGTTGAAAAAAGAGCCAGTATTATTTCTATGAGTATGAGACTTTGGGGAGGATAGCTTAAGACAAAATATCAGTGTGCATGGAATTCTGATTGTCTACTAAATGATTAATCACAGAATTACATCGAAGAATATCCACACACACACACACACACACACACACACGAGCTCAAAATTACCTTTATCCACTGAAAGTGACTAGTAATGATCAAACTGAGATAGTTTTCTTTTTTGTTTGTTTTGTTTTGGGTTGAACATACTCATAAAATTGCATTTCATATCTCTTTTATGCAGCCTCCTTTCACTTACTTTAATTAAAAGTGTTCTCTGCCTTACTTTCTAATAAATTATCTTGATCATTTTGATCATCTGGATTTTTATGATCAAATTCTGGAGGGGGCCAGGACATTCTGACACTGGTGCAGTTTTGATATTGGCACTTGTTTTACTCCAACCATTCCCTCTCCAGGAAAATTTGTCTTTGTGGTTTTCTCTGCTGGGTGGGGGGTGTCTCATTCCACATTAATTCAACAAACACTGATAAAATAGAATGTGCCAGGTACGAAGTTGTATTACCATGTGTTAGAAGTTGTGAGGAGTGCAATACACCAGACGTTGCTTTGCATTCAGTGACCAAAAACTAGTAACTGTATGTAACAAGGGGGCATTGTTTATAGGACCTGTGTAGAGAACACATCAGATCTGGATGTATCCTGTAGAAGAGGCACCTGACTCAGTTAATGAAAGATAGAGAAGACTTCCTGTGGAAATGATCCATGGCTGAGTTTTCAGAGTAACTGCCACTTAGCTCGGTCTATTTGTTGCAAGCAGTAGAAACAAAATTGGCTAAAGCAAAAGAAAGTGAATGGGAGGGTACCAGTAACTCTCAGATTAATAAAATGGCCTGGGGCAAGGACTGGGAAAGGAATCTGAATTTTCAGTAGCACAGCTTGGTTCATAAGTATCACTACTACCTGGCTGGGACACTGAATTCTGCTAACACCGCCACCAAAGGCAATTCTAAGCAGGCCCTGCTTCTGTGTGACAATAATGTAGTTTTATGCTATAAGTATGGTGCTCCCTTAGAGGACAGGTACTAGGGTATCTGGCTTCTGGCAGTCCTTCCATCCCAAACCTACACTGCCAGGTTCCGAACACAGGGTTTTCTGCTGGGCAGCCAAAACAAAACAAACAAACAAAAAACTGTCCAGTAATCACCCTGTTTGCTTTTGAAAACTTGCTGACCTTTATTGTGATCCAAAGTGATAAATATACTTTTTACACCTAAGAAATGAAGATGCTGGTTTTATCTGTTCTGCCTGGCTTTGCCTAGATTCTGAGCCAAGTTGCCAAAGTTAAGTGCAGAAAAGAGAGATTCAGTTTTCAAGTTTCGGATATTTCAGTGCCAAGTTATGGTTAACTGTGATAATATAAAATAAGTATAAAGAAGAGGAAGGGCCTGGGATTTCAGCCTCTAGGAAAGAAAAGTTGGAGTGTGAGCAAAGAGAGGAGTAAAAGGAAAACAAACACAGCTATTAGAAGTCTAGAAAGGATCACAATAACCCTGAAGAGAAAACAAAACTGGTTTTATATGTTATAGGGGAATAAGAAAAAATACAAAGAATGAATTTCTAATAATGCGAAAGATACTGACTTACAGATCACAATAGAAACAACAGTTATAGAAAGAATTTAGGGGCAGTCAAAGGAAGAGAGTTTGGGGTTCTGTGTCAAAAAGAGTTATTCTAAAAGGAAATTAAGAGTTCCAGTTCCCCTACCCTTCCCCAAATTGAAAAGGCTGTTCAGCCAAACCACAAATTCCTGACTCGATCGCGTGAGCCTTTTCATATTTCCTTTGATGTGTGAATCTGAGGAATGGGGTGACCATTCCCTTGCTGGGACCATGGCTTCAGGGCAGACACACAGAGAATGAAGATGAAGAAAACCATCTAGCTGGCCAGGGGAGCAGAATTAAATATTAGACACGAGGGAGATTTTAATCAAAATCATCCACAGTGAGCTGTGTCAGTGTTAGGAGGATGAATTAGGGTTTTCTACATCTGCACTGGGGAGATATTTAAAATAATTTCCACGACTGTTTACTGAAGGCCTGTTATCAAGCATTACTCTATGAATTTGTTGAATTCTTGCACCAATCTATGGGGTGAATAAAGTTATTGCATCTATTATACAGAGGAAATTGAGAAAATTATGCTTTCTGATAACTTGCCCATGTTCTCACACATACACACAAAGCTGGGACTTGCATTTGGGTTCATGGGACACTTTGGCAGTTAGTTGATTTCTGCTACAGATAACAGAATGCTGACCAAAAGTCACTCAAATCCTAAAGCATATATTGTTTAGCATGGCAGAGACTCCAGAGGGAGGCCTGTTCAGCAGCATAGTGATGTCACTGAGAAATGAAGTTAGTTGTGGTTCAGATCAAAAATGTTCCTAAAGGCTTGTGTTTTCACAGGTGGAGCTTTTGGAAGGTGACTGGACCATGGTGGCTCTATACTCATCAATGGATTAGTCCACTGAGTTCATAACTAAATATACTGCTATTAGGTGGGGCCTCTTGGAGGATTAGGTCACTAAGGCATGACTTGCAAGGGTGTGTTCTTATCCCTGGTGCATCTTCTGTATCCGGCTCCTTCCATCTCTCTTTCTCTGATTCCTGCTGCCCTGAAGTGAGCAGCTTTCCTTCACCACATACTTCAGCCATGATGTTTCTCCCTTGAAGCTACCTAACCATGGACTGAAACCTCTGAAACCACAAGCCAAAATAAATCTTTCCACCTTTAGGTAGTTTTTCTCAAGTATTTGGTACAATGCTGAAAAAGTGACTAAAACAGAAGGGTTTTTCACTTGTCTACTCTACCATTTGTGTTGGTGAATCTCATGCTCCAGAACATAGATAGCTAGCTGTAGCAGTTTCAGGCATCTCATAAGGTCATGCCCACACACATTTAAGAGAAGGAGGAATGCTCTTTGTAAGTCTCTTTTTTATCAGAGAAAAAATATTCTTCTCCCTGTGCCCCCAGTAGGTTTCTATGCATGTGCTATTGACTAGTATAAAGCAACATCTTTCTTTCCTTCTTTTCTTTCTCTTTCTTTTTTTCTTTCTTTTTTGGTACTGGGGATGGAACTCAGGAAATTTATTCTTAAATCTAATAACTTTCCCACATTAATTAATGATGATTCATTGCTTGAATTTGTTAAAGGTGTTAACTCTCTTTGACAAGCAAAGCAAAAGTGTTTATAGGGAGAGGTGACAGTGATGGTTATTAGGACCACAAGAAAATTTGTCTGCCATTTCTACTACAACCAACTTCTTGTCCAAGGAACTTATGTAACATTAAAATGGCTGATAGAAATGAAAATTAGGAGAGAAGAAAAAATAAAAGGGGAAGGGAGAGAAAGAAAAATAACTTGAGGAAAATTTTATTATATAAATCATGTTGACCCCTTTTACATACTTAATCATATGCACTTTATATGGTACTTACTTTTATTATACCTACTTTCTTAAAGCTCTTCAAGTCTTTAAATTACACATCTCCAAAATAATAGTGGTGAGTTGAATCCAAATGGATTAATTAGAAAGTACATGCTCTTTAACTTTTAGGGGAGAATAATTAGAAGTTATTCACCTTAGAACAAGGGTAAAGGAGAACTATACCAAAGAGAAATTGCTCCTCCTGAGAAACTTATCTAATACCTCCTTGCACCTCCACCCCTCTCAATACCACACATTAAGCTAGGTCATCTGTTTATCAGTTGGGTACACAGCCTGCTGTGCATCTGTCTAGGTTTTTGCATCTTGATATTGTATACATGGGTAAAAGAAACTGTTACGACCCTCTCCTAGAGGTTTATTTCCATATATTAGAAACTATGGCCATTGCAGGCACCACTGGTGGAACACAAAGAAAAAAGAAAAAAAACAGGGAAAAAGGCATAAATGGAACAGGGAGCTACAAGAGGGGCTTCTAATATTTCATTGTTATTGAAAATTACACTTCATAAAGTCTTGTTCACTTAAAGTTTGAAAAGTTACAGAAAAATGACTTTTATATTTAGGTCTGTTAAATGTATGATAAATCAAAAAAGATGGACCAAGAAACTTCAAGAAAAACAAACCAGAAAATCAGTGCATAGTATAAATAACACTTCATTAGTGTACACTGCCTTACAAAACAGTCTAGAAAATTCCACCAAGTAATCGCAGTACACAGCGCAGAAGAGAATAATTTACTGTCATTAGAGGTCTGTAATCCCTACGGTGGAAAGGGGAATGTATGCACGTAACTCTGTAATGATAGTGAACTTGCACGCATAAATCCCTAAATGATGAGATCTGAATGTATTTCATAAATTCCAGTTATATCTTGCTGACCCACGGAGAGCTGCAGCCTCAGCAGTGTGCTGCTTCCACTTTGCCTCTCAGGAGAGGCCAGGCCTGGGGTGGAGCCCAGTGGTTTAGTCCCTTGCTCATAAGGCACACACCAACACTGTACACACACAACCCTTACCAGCAGTCAGTGCCATGGCATCATGCCACACCATTCCCCAAATATCCTCAGTAACCCAAGGGTGTTGTGTGGGGAAAGGCTTTTCTGTACTAAGTTTTAGGCCTTTCAGCTTAGTGTGACTCCATGCAAAAATAAGGAATAGGAAAGTAAATAATTTTACACTTTATTCTCCAGTCTCCTTTTCTATCTTCACATAGTGTCTTCTCTTCAATTCTACCTCTCAAACTCTTCTTCACAAAATCTTCTCTAAACCAATGACCTGAAATTTATTAACACAGAAATGCAAATGCAAAGCAATGATTTAAGTGATACATCTTCTACAGGCATTTTGTTTTTGTTTTACAAAGGACCAAATCCTTAAACTGAGCGAATTTTAGAAAAAAAAATTCAAAAGGATATTCTCTGGACTAGGATGTCTAGATGTTAGATGTGGAATAGGGGTTTCCAAGAGGCTGGATTGGACACTCTGGAGGAATTATTAGAATTTCATCAAGAAACTGTAAGAATTATAGTCAAGGAGAAAACAAAGCAGTAGATTAAATCAAAATTTAAGATCACACAAACGTGAAAACTAAGATTCCAGACTGTTAGCAGGATGAAGGGAGCAAGATCATGGGAATACAGTTCCAGGACTAGTGGCTCAGGGGGAAGCTGTGAACACCACAGGGAAAACCAGAAACACGAATGTAAGTGTTCTGGCTGTATTAATGCATGCGGTTAGAGCTAGGATTCTTCAGCTGAGGGAGGGGTGGGATAGGAGAGGAAGCAGTGGTCCTTGGGCAGCCTATAAGAGATTTGAAACAATAATCTTTCTATAAAAGCTTATTAAAATGTGCAAGGAGAAGACAGAGTTTTGATTAAATTATCAGAGAAATGTGTTATCCTAAAATGACTACATGCAGCAAGACAAAGAAAGGGGTCTTTGGAGGCCACGGGACACCACTCCAATGGAAACATCAGGTGCATGGCTCAGCCTGTTTTCCACCCTCTGATTCTGTCTTCTTTTAGTACCTGGAGCAGGATTGGTAACCCACCTTCATGTCCCTATTCTCTTCTTCTAGCTGGTAACCCAAAGGGGAAAACAGTTTTGTTTGCCTGGTTGCACTCCCCAGCTGTCACACTCCTGAAATGTTGGTCATCCTTAAGGCCCATGTCTTTGCTCTGTTGATAGAAATATCTAGTCAGTTGCAGTCCACTGTCTTTTAGATCTCTCAAGTGTGAACGAATAAGGTGGCAGGCCACCACATATCTTTAGCTCCAAGGACAATATCAAAATGACCTTTTCCTAAAATGACAGTAGAGAAGGAGTTGGGAAAATAGTACATAGTGCACTAATAGCACCTTTAAAATTTTTTGTTTCTTTTTTGATTGTATATTCCACAGATACTTTATTATATGAGCTCATACGGCTGAAACCTCAAAAGCAATAATTAGATTATGTTCTTTGCAAATTCTGCATCATAGGTGATCTTACTCTTGGATGTAGAAGAGTTGGAATCCATTTTCTTGAAGCCATGGATAAAACTGAGAATGTTTCCTTTTGACAATTTGTTACTTACAGATATATTAGGGGGTAGAAGAAGCATCTTGTGACTATTAAACAATTTCCACTGGAGACAAGCCCCAGCCTAACAAAACATAAACTATTTGGAGGAAATCAGTTTTGGAAAAAATGATGGCCCCTCCTGGTTCTTTGAAAAATGGCAAATTGTTGTTTCATGCCTGGAGTGGGTGGGGGGCTTTTCTGGTCTGAATCCTTCTGTTTCGTGTTGATGAAGCTATTTGTAATGCACATTAGTGGTTTAATTGGCTGACAAAAGTGACATATCCTGTGGATGGATAAATGTAACAGGGAAGACAGGGAGGTGAAGTTTCAGATGGAAAAATAGGAAAACAGTTCCTTTCTGAAAACTTGTAAGTTAACCAGCAGCAATAATAATGGTGAACTATCATGTAGGAGGTTGGCTTAGGTTCCTGTAGCAAAATATATTTGCCTTTATGAGGCATTTAGTATGTTAGTTTGCAACAGAAGGGCTTGTGGCCAGGCTCAGCATTGCTAGAGAAGCCCAGAGGGTTTTCTTAAGAGTCAAGTTGTGTGTGTTCCATAAAAAACAGAATTAAACATAGCAAAAGTTCTGCAAAAATGCATTTTTCAGAAGATGCTAAGGTTCATGCTAACCCTATAGGATGTGGCATGGGAGGCTTCATTAATCCTGCTTGAACATGGGGGAAAAACAGACTTTCCTTTTACAATACACTTAGTAAAACAGGTATTTTTCTCATAACTCCTTGTCATGATTCCAGGATACCTGATGCCAGGTATCACTCACAGGTCTTCTAAATACATCAAATGTAAGATAATGTGTAAAACTCTGGATCTATTTACTGTTAATAATAGAATTGAGTTACATTTATTACAAGTTTTGAGCATCTTTTGAAGTGTCAAGCACTAGTCAGTACAAAGAACAGAAAGTGATGATGGATTTAAGGAAACTCTGGGGTAAGATCAGCAGGGTAGCTGGGATGCTACTGGATTGTGGCTAAAGGCTGGGAGGGGTCATTACTAGCAAGGCCAATGAAAAAAGAAAGAAAGAAGTTGGAGCTGGATGGGCAGATGATGACCCAAACCAAAGAGTGTGGGCAAAACAGAGTAGGGTCTTTAATACGATAAAAAAAAGTCACTACCAACATGTTAATAGTTTCTTCATATATATGTGGTCACTCTCTTCTCTCCAGTCTTAAAGGAGCCAACCTCAGTATATGTGAAGTTTCGAGAGAAGAGAGGTTGGAGGGAGGGAGGGAGGGAGAGTCACTAATGTCAATGTTTTCTAAAGTTTTATTTTCTATGACTATAATCAAATTTCATTAGCTTGTTTAGAAACAACATTTTTTATCCTACTGGAATTGTTTGATGACCTCCTTCTATTTTAAAGTGTTTGGATTTTTCTCATTAGGATGTATGTAAATTTTACTCTACTAAACTTTTCAAGCTGTAGCTTTGGTTATCCACTGTCCTTTTGGCAGTTGGAGAGCAGAGACTTTTGCTGGAAGAAGGAAAGGCAATATCCTATCAGCCTTCAAGGTCAGCATACCCCTAAATGTCTAACTGATAGGAATACTCTCTGATCACCAAAGTCAGTCCTCCTATTTCATCCTTGGTCTACTTTCCCTACTGTGGCAGATATTCATTTCTGCCAGCTCCTAACTCCTCTTTCTGGCTCTACCTTCCCTTGGCCATAGGTTTCATTCGTGGACTACTTTGACTCACAGCAGTTTCAGGATGGCTAGCAGGGATCCCTAATTTCTTCTGGGTTTCTGGCCCTAGATACCATGTGAATTACTTGCATCCTCTGCCATCATATCCTCTGGGAAACCCATCAGCAGTCCTGGTCCCCTTATGAAAAACTCTTTAGTATTCCCAGGTCCTTCTGTTAGTTCCTGCCTTCTCCTTCTCTAGACAATGGGTTCTTCTCCTGAATTAGATCTCATTCTACTAAACTTTTCAAACACAGTGGCCAACACCTGGGGAGCAAGTTCAAGCCCTTGCATGTGGCCCACAAGTCACTCTGGGCCAATAGTATCCTTACCATTTGTTGTCACAGGTCCTCACTATTGAGTCTTGGTCACCTACAGAGATGCTGCAAGGTTATGTTGGGACCTAGTCCCAACCATTTCCTGGAAATTGGTTGAGAACCATGATAACACTTACCTCTCTTTTACAATCATGGTGAGCATTGTGTCCATTTTGCCTTTGGTGCTAGAAGACTATCATCTATTTTCTGTTCCATATAGCTCCTCCCTTACTGGAATACTTACAAATCCTAATGGGAAATAAAATTTCTGGGTTGTTTTAATCTTCTCCCAAGTATCTTCTTAAAAAGTACGAAGGCTTGGGCAAGGGATTTACCTCAGTGGTGCCATCACCTGCCTCTCAAACCTAAGGTCCCAAGTTTGATCCCCAGTAACTCCCCCAAGAAAAAAGTATGAAGACTTTCAGGACAGCATAAATAGTATCAGTTGATATTATCAGATAATTTCTTCTTCTCCCAGTAGAAAAATATATGCAGCAGGAGAGTATAGTAAGAAAGTTCTATTGGAATGCTGAAAAAATGGCACAGGAGTGCCAGCAATTCAGCTTCTCCAGGACCAAGTTCTGGAAAATAATAGCTTGGGGAGGAACTGAAGTGAGTAGAGGTTACCCAAGAACTAGGAGGGAACTGACAGAGCAGAAGATAATAGGATTAAGTGATATACTGCACAGTGCTGCTAGCCAAGAGGCAAAGAAAAATTGACAACATTTTTGCTCACAGAGAATGGGAGAACTGCACTGGGACAAAAACACTCACCAGTAGTTGGAACCAGTAGGAGAACATGGGATAATGCTTCCAGAGTAGCCTTCCGTAGTCAACAGTTGCTGAGTGACCTTGGCGCAGCACACACAGCCACAATCACAGAGCAAGAGCTTGTGGGGATGCCATTGCTCAGAAGGGGTGTGTCCGAACCTGGGTCCCAGAGCAGCCCCTTGGCCCCAAAGCACACTTCCCACTGCCAAGTTCCCAGAGTAGATGAGGAAGAAACAGCCATGGAAGCTGGCAGCTGCAGAATAGACTGGGGGGCGACCCTGAGGGGCAGGAGATGGTGAACACAGACCAAGATACTGTGGTCAGAAGCCAGGTTCAGCCTGAGATACACAGGATTGGGAATTCACATTGGTGCCACGTTCTCACTGTAAGCAGATCTCTACAACCAGCACCTTTTTGGGAGTGGACTTAGATTTCCAGCATGAACAGAGAGATAACCTAGCTTCAGCTCTGCTCTTTAACCATAGGATGAGAAAAAGAGCCACACAACTGAAACAACAGAAATTTTTCTTTTATTATTCTGTATTTGATTGTATTTTTAAATTTAAATTTAATTTTTTATCTTTGCTGTTCTCCTCATTTTTATACATTTCCCCTTCCAATTTTATTCTATTATTTTCCTTTTATAAATAAGTCTTGTTGATATAACATTAATAAACATATATGCATCAAATACTGGAGCACCTACCTATCTTCATAAAAAAAAAACTGCTGAAACTAAAAGGTCAATAAATACTAACACAATCACAGTAGAGGATTTTAACAACCCACTTATGCAAAAAGATAGATAAGCTAAACAAACAAACAAAAAAGCAGTAAATAAATTTTGGGGCTGAACCATACCCTTGAACTAATGAATTTAATGGATATATACAGTGAACCCTTGACTTACGAACTCAATTCATTTGTGAGGACTCTGTATAACTCAAGTTGGTCAACTGAAGGTTCAGACTACTCTACACAGCCTTCAATATCTCTCTCCTGTATACAGACAGATCTCAGTGTCCTTAGAGAGACATTGGCCCAGGATATCTCAATTAACACCATTCTGGAAAGAATGTTGAAATGTTCCTTCCAGAACTCTTTAAGAGTTAAATCTGTATCTAAGATCATCTGGAAGCACAAGTGTCCAGCATTCAGATAGTAACTCAAGACTTTGGCTGTAAGTTAAACTAAACTTTTGGTCAAAACCCAAGTTATTCATATGTCAGGCTAGGCCAGTTGTAACTTGAGGGTCCACTGTACAGAGTATTCCATCTCTACAACAGAGTATACATTCATTTCAATAGGACATGGTACTTTTTCCAAAATATATCACATACCAATTCACACAGTGTGCTTAAGTACATATAAAAGAATAGAAATTACCTATGCATACTATCAGACCACTGTGCAAAGAAAACAGAAGAGATTTGGAAAAAATCAAAGCTCCTGGAAAATTAACAATATACTCCTAAACAACCAATAGACTACAGAAGAAGATAAAAATTTCTAGAAGTTAATGACAATGATGGCACAACTCACAAAACCTCTGGGATGCTATGAAACCAGATCTGAGAGGAAAATTCATCGCACTCAATGATCACATTAGGAAAACACAGCAAGTTCAAATAGAAAACCATATGAGAAATCTTAAGATACTACTAGAGAAACAACAACAAACCAGCCTGAAACCAAAATTAAGGAGAGAAATTATAAAGATGAGAGTAGAAATTAATGAAAGTGAGAGTAAAATAACGGTAAAAATTCAATGAGTCAAAGAACTGCTTCTTTGAAAGACTAAATAAAATAGATAAGCCGCTAGCCAGACTTATCAAGAGAAAGAAAGAAAAGACCTACATCAAATTCTGTTCCATATGCCTATCACAATAGCATCAAGATAAATGAAATACCTAGGAGTTAACCTAACCAAGGAAGTGAAAGACATCTACAGAAAAAACTGCAGTATTCTGAAAAAGGAGACTAAAGAGGACATCAGAAAATGGAAAGATATCCCCTGCTCCTCAAAAGGCAGAATCAATAATTGTCAAAAAGACCATATTCCCAAAACTATTATACAGATTCAATGCAATTTTAATCAAAATATCAGCAGCTTACTGTACAGATCTAGAAAACAAGATCCTTTATAGAGCCAAAAGAGACTCAAAAAAGCAAAAGCAATTCTGAGCAACAAGAACAAAGAAGGAGGCATAACATTACCTGAGTTCAAGCTATACTGTAAAGCAACAGTATAAAAACAACATGGTATTGGAACAAAAATATATGTGTATATGGAACAGAACTGAGGATACAGAAACTTCCCTAGACACATTCAGCTATTTGATCTGTATTTATTTGTTTATTTATTAATTATGTGACAGGGGCCAAAAGAATATGTTGGAGGAAAGACAGCCTATTCAACAAGTAGTGCTGGAAAAATTGGTTGTCTGTGATTGAAGACTGAAAGATTGAAGATCAAAACTGTACCCTTACCTCTTACCATATAATAAATTAAAATCAAAATGGATCAAAGATCTAAACATTCAAACAGAAACATTACACCTACTGGAAGACAAAATAAGCAAAACCCTTGAAGACATAGGTGTAGGAAAAGATTTTCTAAACAGAACAATTGCACAGGAAATAACAGCAAAATCAACAAATAGAATTGTATCTGACTAAAAAACTTCTGAATGGGAAAAATTTTATGCCAGCTACTCCTCAGACAGCAGACTAATATCTACAGTATACAAAGAACTAAAAAAAATTAAATCACCTAAAATGAAAGACCCAGTCAAGAAATGGGCAAATGGAATGACTTCACAGGATAAGAAATACAAATGGCCAACAAACAACATGCAAAAAATGCTCAACGTCTCTGGCCATTAGAGAAATGCAAATTAACACTAAGATTCCATCTTACTCCAGAATGAATCATTAAGAGATCAAACAATAACAAGTGCTGGCAAGGTTGTGGTGAAAAAGAAACCCTCCTTCACTGTTGGTGGGAATGTAAATTAGTGCACCATTATGGAAATTAGTATGGAGATTCCTCAAAGAACTGAAATTAGAAATTCCATATGACCCAGTGATGGTCCTGCTAGGTATTTTCCCTAAAGAGTTTAAGACATCCTACTACAGTGGTATATGCATACCGATGTTTATAGCAGCACAGCTCACAATAGGTAAATCCTAGAAACACCCTGTATACCCATCAACAGATGATTGGATATATATACATATTGAAATATACATATTGGAATACTACTCTGCTATAAACAATGATAGATTTGAGACATTTATGGGAAAGTGGGTACACCTGGAAAATATAATGTTGAGTGAAATAAACCAGACACACAAGCTTAAATACCATATGGTGTCTTTCATTTGAGTGAGGCAACATACAAAAAGAATAATAAAGGATGAAGAGAAGGGGGCAAGGAGATGAATCTCTTGAAATAGAGAAGTGGCCTAAGGGAAAAGGCACTATGGGTGAAGATGAAGGGAAGAGGAAATAAGTAGAATAAAGATAATGCCATATAAGGAACCTAATAACCTCAATTAATGTAAACATTATATGCCAAAACATGAGCTAAGATTAATAATGTCAATAAGAATGAAAAATGGGATAGGAGAATTGGAAGAGGAGGGAGGAAGGGGAAGAAAAGGGAAGGTGATGTAAAAAAACAGAAACAAGCTGTGTGATGTACATATAACCACTCCCCGAGGTAACTGAACATTGCATGAACTGAAAACATGTACTAATAAAATAAAAAATGAAAGATGAAAAGATGAAAAATTGCATGTGCAAAATAATTTTCTCAGTTTTACCAACCCTGATACTAGGCAGTTAGATTTTTGCCTAGCAAATATATAAAACCACAGTAATAATGTTTGTCAGTTAGTTTAGTTCTGAAAATTCTAAAAGGAGACCTTCAAATAAAACACAACATCCAGCCATTCTGAAACACTCCTTAACTGGAAAAATTATCTTTCATGTAAGGTTTTTTTGTTTGTTTGTTTGTTTTTTGTACCAGGAACCAAACTCAGGATTTTATGTAAGTTTTAAGACACATTTTTATACCCAAATTGCAAACTACTTTAGAAGAGAGATAATTTTATAAGGTTTTGCATCTTGAAAATGCTTGAATTGAGTCCACTAATCTTTGCAATGACAAACAGGAGTTTTTTTCTGGTTCTTTTTTTTATTTAAGTGTTTTAGTTCTCTTTCCTTCATTCAGGTTTTAGCTCTTCACTCATTTTTAAATCCCCTTATGGCACCTAGTTCCATGATTCGAACATGGTAGGTGATGATTAGTGTTTGTTAAATTGAATTGAATTCAACATCATCACATATGGGTCCATTTTACCTATAATTCTAAGGCAAGATTGACTTTTTGTTTTTCTGTTGTGCGATGAAAGCAAGTTGGCAGGACCTAACAATTTTTCATTCCATGGACTCACTTTTATTATTTA